AACCTGCCTAACAAAGTCTTCTTTGGTTAAATCTCCAGTCTCTCTCTCTCTCTCTAAATCTCCAGTCTCTCTCTCTCTCTCTCTCTCACACACACACACACAGTTATTATGGATTCAATTTCTTTGATATTCAGATTGTCTATTTCTCCTTGTGTGTAATGCATCTTTCAAAAAATTGGTCCATTTCGTCTAAGTTGTCTAATATGTAGGGATGGAATCTCTATTACAGATCCAGTCCTGTATTTTTATATTATGCCTATAATTTTTTTGTCCTTAATAAAAGAAAAATGATATAATCTATATAATTATATAATCATTATATAATGTATAATGAGCATGTTTCACTTCTGATTTCAGTAATTTATGCCTGTTTTTCTTAGTTAAGCTAGCTAGAAGTTTAAAATTTTGATTTTTTTCAAAGAACAAGCTTTCAGCTCCTTGATTTTCTGTATTTCCCGTTTTCAATTTTATTGATTTCTGCTCTGATTTTATTTCTTTTCTTCTGACTACTTGGACTGAAGTTTGTTCTTTTTGAAGTGGAAGTTCAGATTGTTTATTTTAGAAAAGATGTAAAATAATTAATGTTACAAATTTGTCTCCAAGGGGCTGAATTTTTGCTGCATCCTGCAATTTAGCTTTTAGGGTTTTTTTTTTTTTTTTTTTTTTTTTTTTTTTTTTTTGTGATACTGGGGATAGAACCCAGGGGAGCTGTTGCGCTGAGCTACATCCCAGACCTATTTATTTTTTAAGACAGGATCTTACTAAGTTGCAGTGGCTAGCCTCCAACTTGCAGTCCTCCTGCTTCAGCTTCCCAAACAGCTGGCATTACGGGCACCTCCCACAAATTTTGATAGTTTGTATATTCATTTAACTCAAAGTATTTTAAAATTTCTCTTTTCTTTGGCCCAAGTATTGTAAAACTTCTCCAAGTACTTGGGGGTTTTCCAGCTGTCCTTTCCTTCTGTTGTTGATTTCTAATTTAATTCCATTGTAGTCTGTGAGAATATTATGATTTCTAATCTTTTAAAATTCACTAAAGTTTGTGGTGAAGGTTCTATGTGAACTTGAGAGTTGTGTGTATTTTGATGTCACTGGATGAATTATTCTGTAGATGCCAATTAGATCCAGTTGATTGATGGTGAGTTCTGTTCCAGTATGTGAGGCCCTCCTTAGAACCTTTCAAATTTGTCCATATTGAGTCTGTAAACAGGCAAAGACTCTTACTTGTTGTTTCTCTTTATCAAATTAGGGTTAGTTACAACTGTTTGTCGATGTTGTACTCATGATTAATTAGTGTTTTGTGGAAAGAAAGACGAGAGCAAGGAAAGGAGGGCCATACTCTAAAATATATAAAAAATAAAAATAATTTATATTGTTTTGGAAACTCTTTGAGAAAGCTGTCATAGCCATGAATGAAGAACCTAGCATGAAGGGGTATCTAAAGTATCAATTCGTTACATCTGACTAGAGCATCATGCAGAAGCAGCATTGCCTAATGGTCCCCTTGGCATGTCATCCACTGATGATCTCTGTTACAGATCTAGTCTTGTATTTTTATATTATGCCTATATTTTTTGTCTTTAATAAAAGAAAAATAAATTTTATCAACTAGTTTTTTTTTTTTAAATAAAGGGAGAAACTGTTAGCCAAATGACCATTCTTCAGAAATTTACCTGAGAGTTCAATTTTGGTATTCTATTTTAATCCATTTATTCCTTATTATAAATTCCTACTTATTCTTGCTCCACAATACATTATTTAAACGTTAAGTTTGGAAAATACCATACTATACAACTATCAAGTAATTTTAACCTCTGTGAAGGATTAATAATTGTCAATGATAAATATAAAGCAGATTTTCTAAAATTTCTTTATTTCAAAAAGCTATTATACAGTTTCAATTTAAAAGACATATCAGCATGAAATATCTAATTATACAGCAACAGAATAAACAAAAAATACACTTAGAGGTTATCCAAAATAAATTCACAATTTTAAAGGTGAAATACAGATGTTTTTTTCAAATAAAATATTTTGTTTAGATGGTTTTTCTCTTAAACATCTGAGATGGACATCTTTTGAACTAGAACTAGACAACCTCTCAACCTACAAATAAGTGCTTATATTAACTTGCAAAAATAACCCCCTAAACCATTCAATGACTTATACAGTCACAAAACACTATAAAAGTCAAAGAAATCATTGCTCTAAAATGTCTACCTTGAAAAGGAAATCTACATCTGAGTTGTGAAGAGGAATAAGATGGTTTTTTTAAAAGAAAAGCTGAGTCTTCCTGACTGATTTACTTTTTATGAAGTTTATCCTATTCAGACTATTTTCACAACACACTTTTATCCTGAAAGAGTGTGGAGGTGTTAAAGTATGAAAGCTTCTTTGGCCCTTAGATAGAGGTACCTGAAATGTAAACAATTGCAATGGGAGCCTTCTAGATGTGGATGCTTACTTCTTATATTGAGTTAGAGATGAATGTCCTTGTCTCTCAAAGATATGGTAATTTCCTTTCCAACAATAATAGATTTTTTTTTTTGATGTATTGAGATTTGTTTTCAAATGCCTTAAAAATAAAAATTCATGTATATTACTATAAAGAATAGTTTTAAAAAATCAGAGAAAAGCATTATATGATATTACACCACAGGTTTTATTCATGGTAAATGTCTGCATTTGTTTTTAAAAGCTTAGCTCTTATTATTAGCATTTTTTAACAAAAGATAGTAAGCAAGAATCTTTTGCCATACATAACTACATCCACAAATAAGATTTTTAACCTAACCCAATACTGAAAGCTAAATAATGAATATAGAGCAAAACACTACTAAAACCGTTTTCTATCACTGAATAGAATGCATTTAGAAAGACACAAGCATACTGAACATAGAAAAACAATTTTGTGGATTTAGTCTCTAAGACTATAATGAAGAATGACATGCAATTCATAATTTCCTTAAAAAAATATTTTTAAATGGTATCATTTTTTTTGTTTTGTTTCGTTTGAGGGGAACACAATCTGTGTTTCCCAAACTTATCCTCCATTAATACTTAACAGCAAACTGTGTAAGCTTTCTCTCTCACTCTCTCTCCTCTTCCCAGAAATTACTTGTAGATCACTTTGCATAATGACAACATAGAAACATTTTTCTGGTAACAGTGTCATGGCCATAAATTATCAGTATATTAAAAAAAAATATCAAGTGCAAATCTAGAAAACTTCCTTTAAAGAATTATGCAAACCCAGCACATGTGCAGTATCGCTATGACACAAGATTAAGTAGTATGACTTTTAAACGTGTATATAATGTCACATGTGTACTAGAGACCATCTTCTATAAAGTTTAATAGTGTTGCCAAGTTAATAATTCTTTCAAGGCACTGAAGAATTATGTAGATGGAGTTTCCAAAAAACTAACAATTGCTTAAACTGTTAAAAAGCCCTGAGTCAGAACTTTCAATAGCTTCCTGAAATTATATCTCAAACAAAATGGCACACTTATTTATTTTATAAAAATTATAAGATCTTTTTTTTTGGAGGAAAGAAGTCATGTTTATGAAACAAATCAAGGGACTATGCAGGAAAATTAAAATATTCAGCAATATTATCTTAAGACATTTTGTACACATCAATTATCTTATAGTTATGGATTCAGGCACCAAATTAATGTGACAAGTCACTTCTCCTGTACCTACCACTTAAGTTCCCAACAAAATAAAAATCTCAATTTTAATCTCAGGTTCTCATTTCCTCTTTACCACACATAAGAAAAAATGATGGAAAAAGTAATACTCTGACAGAAAAGGAGGTAGAAAATGCAACTTAACAATTTTAATGCATCAGCTCCACCATCTAGTTTACATTTATACTACAGTTTAACCCACTACTAACCATTTATCAGTACACTGAAGCTCAACCTAAAGAATTTCCCCCCTCACTGTAGTAAAGCACTATACACAAGACATTAAAGTTTCCTCAAATTTAATGCTTTAAAGTACAAGTGGAATCATTAATACTGCCATTAATATATATGTGTGTGTTAAAGTTCCAAGGATATATATTATCAAGTAATATCAGTAAGCATTCCTATCATAATATTCAAGCAAGTAAAATCAGGTTATGTTTTTGAGAGAAAAACATATTCTGAAACTTTGATGGTAAATTTAAAGACAATGGACATTTTCAACAAGGCACACATAATTTGTGAAAGTCTATTACCTCCCCCCAATTTGCTACAAATTCCAAGTTTACCTAGTTGTGATATTTAACATATGTTTCTCCCCTTTGACTCAAAATGAAACAACAAACTCTTTCAATAAACAAGCATTTAAAACCTACCCAATTATTATTAATAATAATTGGGGCAGAGGGAGAGAAATGCTATTGCCCCAAATTTTAGAGACTTGACGTTTACCATGACTTCAGAGTGTGCAAACACTAACTACTAAATAAATCACTAACTACTAAATAAATTTATAGGTGGTCAAAATTCCATTCCACAGTGGAGTGAAAGAAAAGAGGAGTTGTTTACTGGGTAAAACATTTCAGTTTTACAAAGATAAAATTCTAGAGATTTGTTTCACAACAATGTGAATGTATTTAACAGTACTGAACTGTACACTTAGAAACAGTTAAGATGGCAAATTTTATGTTTTTTACCACAATAAAAAATGCAAAAAAATCTATTCCAAAATTCAATTTTTATACAAATTATTACTATAAAACACTTTTAGACACTGAGAGGATAAGTGCTTTCCTTTTGAATTAAAAAAAGCAAGCTGTTAAAGTCTATAATTTACAAAATAATTGCCGATTAAACTAAACTAAATGATTGGTTAAGACACCCGTTTTGTTCTTCAATTAAGCATATTCTCTTCACTAATGCTTTGATGAAATCTACATGATCCTCTTTTTTTCTTCTACACTCAAACTTTAACTTTTCTGTTTCCCACATTTTGCAACCCCAATGCCCTGACTCATTCCTGTTCTCTTCATTTTTTTTAAGTTTAATTAATTCCTAGTCCAAAAAGGGTCCAGAATTCAGAATAAACAAAGAACAGCAATTAAGCAACACATAACTAGGCAGGATGTTTCTAGTGCATTAAAAATGACCCAGCAAGCTTTGAAATTTGAACTGGACAAAAATCTTAAGCAACAAACATTTCAATATGCTAGCATGCTCTAAATGGCTAAAGCCATTAAAAAATATGACAAAGTTATTTGCAATATTATCTATCAATTAATTTTATGCTTCAAATAGCTAACTGGTTAATTCGCAATGTTTAAAATTAAAAATATTTCAAGCATAATTCGTCCAGCTAAACACTTTTCTAATAAAGTTCCTTCACTAATACAAAATTATCTTTTCTTGAACATCTTGCTCCTGACAAAATTAAATATGTATACAATATAAGTAAAAATGTTAAATGATGTGAATACATACAATTAGGATAGCACCATCTGGTAAGTTGTGTGTGTCTGGAGTAACAGAGCTGACAGTCTTAGAAGAATAAAGAAGAAAATGTGGGAGGGTGAGGGGGCATAGAAAGGGAATCCAAATATTACTCACTGACAAGTCTTCTAAAACATTAGGAAGCAATGCTATCAGTGCCTTTGGATTTCTTTCTTTCCTCTACAGACAGGACTTCAAATATACAACTGCCACACAATAAATTCTGTGAGTGCTAAGAGGCTGACCCCCCCCCCCTTTTTTTTTTCCAACGTTGTGTATCTAGCCCCTGAAGCTCAATAAATACATTTTTTAAATAAATGCATGTTTTTTTAAATGATTCTAGGAAAACAGTTCTTTTAAACACAGGATAAAAAAGGTTTACATAATGAGAAGGAAACATCTAATTGGCAAAGTACTGCTAAAAGACATATAAGAGGTAGCAGTTTCAGTGAGTTGGAGAAAAGTCACTTAAATGATTAAATTCTTAATCTTATTCTCTCTCATAAACTCAAAAAACATTAATTTTTTAGGTGCTTGAAAACATGAAGAAAAACATTTTCTATTTATTAAACAAACTTCAAAGTGATACAGATAAAGTCTGCAAGTATTTAGCACTGAAGTTTATAGTCACTTTATAACTTCTATAATAGAAAACAATTTCTCATATGATGGAAATAATTAAATTAGCTTGGAAGATGATATTGCCTTTTAGGGATATAAATTTTAGCACTGCAGCTTCAGAAGACAAAAGAGACTTCAATGAAAAACAACTAAGCCTTTCCACAGTTCTCAGTTTGGCCAAATTACAAGAGTCAGCCAGGTGCTCCCTTCTTACCTGCTGACCTAGTGGAAATATGGGTGGTCTATGAATTGGAAGAAAAGAAAAATCCCTACTTCTGCTTTTTTCAAATTTGCAATAAGTCTGTCTCCCTATGTGAACACCATCTTTTTAAAAAAACGAAGCTCAAAATATACTTTAAAAATAGTCTCAGTGGCCCCTTTCTAGATAACTGAATAGTCAACATAAAGTTTCAAATTTGAAATTTATAAAAACTTTACTATTCAAAATAATAAAGATTACTCAGCTAAACACAGATATGGGATTGTTAATCATTAGCAGCCAGCTAATAATTAAACAGCCAGTAACAGTGCTATGAGGGCTAGACACTTCATATTTTCACATTCAGGTGTTACAGAAGAAAAACAGAAATAAGAAAAGCTAGCCAGATTTAAAGGGCGAAAAAAACTACAAAAAAAAAATCCACTATACTTAGAAGTATGCTTATACACAGTACATAGTAGGTATTATTGTAAACAGCTGATTTTTTTTTAATAATCTAGCAGCAAGGAACCCCAAAACATTTATGTATATATTTACCCTAGATACAAAAGATCACTCATTCAAAGGAGAGAAAACAATTAGAAGCTCTAGAGTCAAGTGTGCACCCCCCCAATATTATACAGGCAATCAGACATATTTCTATAAATGTCTGGGTACTCTTTCTAAACAAGTATCAGTTATTAAGTTATTTACTGTATCTTGGATATTGTTGGCAGTTTAAATAATATCTTCATCTGTAGATATAAAGAAACTGTTTTCATTATAGAAGGAGTTACTATTTGAGAGAGAATAATGGAAGTAAGGCCTTTGATGAAGGTAAAATCAGTAATACTGTCAGAATTAATAGATACAGAGAGGAAAAAATTGCTGCCTTTGGACAAGGAATTCAAGCTGAATAGAACCTCAGAGGCCCAAATGGGGCTACATCATTGTACTGTTTAGATCAAGCCCAGATAAGTAATCACAGGGAAAACTGAAGTACACTTTTCACAGATATTTTTAAATGGCTGACTGCATAAATTTATATTAGAAATGCAACTGTTAATGGTCAGTTAATAGGTACTTTTTTATTGCCCCCCTCTTCAGTTCTTCACTATGATTGTTTAAAACTATAATCTGATTCAGTTTTCCTTTTAAATTTAGAAAACAAGGTAAACGCAGGGTCAATATTCTCTTAATCTATGCTTCCAATGATACTAAGATTTCAGAAACAAACATTTGGATAACTTCTCATTATCTTAAAAACAGAATCTTCTCTTCAATAGTCCCTTAATCATGTGGAATTTGTAGTATAATTTTATCATTTAACATGTGACATAATAATTTAACTTGCTGTTTTCACTTGATGCATTACATCTCAGAGTACCCATGCCATTTCATTGTATAAAATCATAATAAACTGAAAGATACAAATGTACATGGAAGTACATTTTTTGAGTTTAACAAATTTATAAATTTTAAGAGAAAATGCAATAAAAAGAAAAATAAAAGGAGATCCTTAAAGGATTTTCCCCTTAGAACTTAAAAAGAAATTACCTATGAATTACCATGGATTTAATGTTTCCAGTTTAAAAGAAGAAGAAAACAAAAATAAACAAAAATCATGATATCAAAACTGAAGAGTTTTGTTCTTCTAGTACATTGATAGTCAAATTGTACTCTAGTAAAGAAACTATGATATTAAAAATTAATTCATTAGAACTTCCAACTAGCTTAAAAGCTTACAAAGATCCCATGACCACATACTTTAGCTAACAAAACACTCTGTTTCTTAGTCAGTACAAAAGAATCCTTCGTTCAATAGCCTTGCGACAAATTGGACATTCACTCATTCGGTCTCCACAGAGCTGGCATGTTCCGTGGCCACAGAGGAAAATCATATTCTTCAGACGATCCAAACACACAGGGCACATTGTCTGTAATGTGAGATAATAAAGTAATAAATGCTGAGACATTTTGTATTTTAAAATGTACTATGTGACAACTCCATTATGTCATTAATTTTTTTGTTGTTGTTTCAAATAATTTTGTTGCTTTTCAAAAATTTAAAATGTTATCCCTATAAAATCTAAATACTGGTTGTTCTATTGAGATAATATACAAAGTACTACATAAAGTAAATACTAAATATAAAACAAAAGATGCAAATACCAAAATACAAAGGAAAGGGATGAAAACAGTCCTACTCAGCTGCTCTTGCACGAAAACACTACCACATATCAGGTGTATTGGAGGGTGGGAGCAGTGTAGAGATGAACACTTGCCAGAATGAGGCTAGATACCATACAATCTCAGTACTATCATCACTCCTGTGTTTAAAAAAAAAAAAAAAACAAGGAAACTAAAGCTTAATGAGGTTCAAACCTTCCTCAAGGCAAGCAGTATGCCAGAATATAAATTCAGATTACATAGCCCCAGAACTCTTACTCTTAAAATGTGCTATACTGTTCTACTAGCAATGCAGATTCCTTAAGTTAAAAATAATTACCCTTAGCTACATATTAATAAATTTCATACTTGAAGAATTTAGTTTGTTAGGTATACTTCTGTGAAAATATTCTAGGAAGTCATATTTATTCACAAAAACATATTTAATCTTATAACAAATTTTACCTTAATACTACACTTCATTCTGAATTATATCTTTTCCCTAATAACACAGAAAAAAATACATAAGCAAAAATGTCTAGATTAAAAGACATAAGGGGCTAGGGTTGTGGCTCAGCGGTAGAGCACTCACCTACCACATGTGAGGCCCTGAGTTCTATCCTCAGCACCACATTAAAATAAAGGTATTGTGCCCAACTACAACAAAAAAAAACTATTAAAAAAAAAGACATATAGGTTTGAAGCTTATACGGCAATGTAGTTACCAACTTTGACAATACCAGAGATTAATGTTTAAAAAAAAAAAAAAAAGACTTGTGGTTTAAATTGTTTACCACGCTCCTCCAAGGCAAACTGTTACATCTAAAAAGCAAAGCTAGAGAAAAGTCACATCTTTTTGGATTTTGAAAAAGCCAAACCACCTTTTTCGCATCATTAAAACAGTTTCATTTTCACTAAATTTTCTAGAATTCTAAATAATTAATAACTCCTCTTATTTCTAAAAGTAAATATATCTATGTAGCCTGTGCTATTGCTTTAATATTAATATCCTTTTTCTTTTTGGTACTGGGATTAAACTCAGGAGTACCTGAATACTGAGCTATGTTACCAGACATCCCAAGTCCTTTTTTATATTTTTATTCTGAGAGAGGATTTCACTAAATTGCTGAAGCTAGCCTCAAACTTGGGATCCTCCTGCCTCAGCTTTCCAAGTTGCTGGAGTTATAGGCATGTGCCACCATGCCTAGCTAATATCAATACTTTCTTAATTACAGCTGATATCAGTTTTTGTCTGTTAAAGAGACAGGTGGTAATAGAAAGATGAGATATTTAAGTGAAGAGAGTTATTCAGATGTTTTCTTTAGTTTTCCTAATTAACCTTAATAGGTGTTCCTCCAAGAAATCCCAACATTTCTCAGAAAATTAGTTTGATTAAAACTACTTAAATACTAAGGTGATAAAATATGATCATATGGATTTTTAAGAAAGAATAAACTTGTTTTGGGGTGCTAAACTTTGGATGTAAGTAGTACTGAAGGCTGGGGCTACAGCTCAATGGAAGAGCGCTTACTTAGCAATGTGCAATGCACTGGGTTTCATCCCTAGCACCACTAAAAAAAGAGTAGAGCTGAATTTATTCTTTTAGGATCCATAAGAGAATTCAGTTAAGTCTCATCAGTGCATATAATACTCTGGTTTCTCTTCAGACAACATAAATCTTTCACCTTTTATTCCAATAAAATGTATAAATTAGTAAAAGGGAAAAAAAAGTTTCATTATTCAATGTAAAAGGCTAGGGATATAGCTCAGTGGTAGAGAACTTGCCTAGCATATGTTAGATCATAGTCTCAATCCCTAGCACTGCAAAATAAAACAAACAAACAAAAAATCCACAAAATTTAAATTCATACTAAGATAAAATGCTTTTCATAGAAGAAAAAGATCAACTTTAAGTGAAATGAGAAAAAACGGAGATGTTAGAAGCTTCAGAATTCTTTAAAATGTTTTATTTTGTATCAGAATGAGTCAGATATGTTTCGATCTACTTAAGAACCTTTAAAATCCTATTTATCTATACTTACTATATAACAATTGCTAAGTATGGGATTTAAAAAAAGAAAATGAATGCAATCAAAGTTTTCATCTTTTCATATGGGTGTTTAAATGCCTAATAAATACATTATAGTCAATTCTAAACTAGTTACCAGTGGTGATTCATTATCTTGGGTTACTATCTATGACTACGTTACTTTCTTATAAATTCAGAAAGTGAACTCACTGAGTTATAACTGCATAGTTATACTGATGTAATGCTAAATCACAGAAAGAACATTTTTGCTGCTCAAACCTTTGAACCAGAATAAGCTGTTGGGTCAAACGGTAAGTATTATGGTTTAGATGTGGTGTCCTCCAAAAGCTCATGTGTGAAGACAATGCAAGAAGGTTTAGAGGAAAAATGATTGGGTTATAACTTTTTCAGCGAATTAATTCAGTGAATTAATTAACCTAATCAGTGAATTAATTCCTAATGGGATTAACTGAGTGGTACCTGGAGACAGGTGGGGTGTAGCAGGAGGGAGTGGTTCATTGGGAGTGTGGCTATGGGATATATATTTTGTCTCTGGAGAGTGGAGTCTCTGCTTTCTAATCACCATGTGAGATGCTTCCCTCCCACCACACTCTTCTGCCATGATGTTCAGCCTCACCTTAAGACCCTAGGAATGGAGTCAGCCTTCTACGGACTAAGACCTCTGAAACTGTGGGCCCTCAAATAAACTTTTCTTCTCTAAAATTTTTCTGGTCAGACCTTTTAGTCACAGCAGCAAAAAAAACTGAATGAACAGTTAAGGCCGGGCCAAAACAAAAAAGGACTTGCTTTTTTATGTACCTCATACCTCATACCTCCAAATTTCACCAGTTTCTTTCTCTTGTTGATTTGGTTAAATATTGAGTAGATATACTTCTTTGTTGATATGTATAAGATATTAAAAACAACATAACCAAAACTGAGTTTAAAGTATGGAATGCTATTCTCACTTTTTGAAACCCCTTCAACAACTTCCTCAATCCCTTCCATCCACCATTTATTGATAACCACCATTCTGAATTTTGCGTTTGCTTTACTATGCAAATACTCACTCTCTCTCTCTTTCCTTTCTATCAAAGTATCACATATACACAAATATATATATAAATCATAAAAGCTCACAAACTGATAACTGGCTCTAGAAACTTCCCTTGTGCCTCCAGTCAAGAAAACCACTACCCTTAACTTTAAATGCCTCATATATGATTTTTTCCAAGTTTTTCTTCCTAAACAATACCCTGTTCAGTTTTGTTAGGCAATGACAAACTATCTTCCAAAGTGTTTTCACTAATTCATATTCCACCAGCAGTGTAAGAGTTATGGCTACTATACATTCTTTGTTAGATTGGACTTTCCCCACTCTAACAGATTTGAAAAGGTCCCTCACTGTGGTTTTCCTAGTTAGTAATATGGTTGAGCATTTTTTCCCATATTTATTAGTCATTTACATGTTTTCTACTTTGGAAAAATACCTGGCTAAATCTCCTACTCTGACACTATTCATTACAAATATTCAAATGCTACAAGTAATACAATACTTTAAACTATGCTACCTAGATAAAATTCAACTACTTTTACCAAAAAATATCACATAGCATCTGAGAACTACTGTTCAACATAACAAAATCATTACCTGCTCCTTAATGTCCTGTAACTGTTGCTGCAACTTTTGCACATCTGCATTGACATTGGTATTATCCTTGTCCTTTTGTAACACTGGAATATTCCCGCTTGCTATAACAGAGATAAAAAATTTTTAGTTATTCCTGTTGTAACATAAAATGATATTTCTAAAATTATTACTATTTTGTTTATTTAAAAACAAGACTATATATAAGAATCTTTAAAAAATTTTTCATGCTTGGACAATAGATACAATAGTTACATTCTTTAAGCTTCAAAAATACTGGCTTGCACATTAATTTCTAATTTTATTTAACACTGTTAGACAACAATCCACTGACTTCTAGGTTTTCCAAGGCTCTTCCTGCTTTGTTTGGAAGTTCACAAATATATTTCATGCTTATTTTCTCTGCTCCTATACCACAGAACTCAAAAAACCAGGTAGCAGTTTTGGCAGTCCTAATTAAAGTCTCTCAGATTATTTTTATGAAGACACACAAAAAACTCCTTTCTTTATGTCCAAATTTGCTTCTTGTTACTGATATGAAATGAGGAACTCAAGAAAGGCCTTTATCAGTAGACTGCAAAAATAAAGGGAAATCCTTAATTTCATGTTTCCTATTCTCTGTATTCTTGGTCTTTTACTCCTGGTCATCCCTGGGATTTTTATTCTGCTCTATTTGTGAAAAAAGACAAAAGCTTTGGACAGAAGTGAGTACAATAATGTTTTTTCTCATCTGTTCAAAAACACATTTATATAACAAAGAAACCATCTGGCTAAAAGACAAAAAATAATTTTAAACAGCTGTATTATTTAAAAGGCTGAAGGTAATGATTGGGGACGTAGTTCAGTGGTAGAGTACTTGCCCCACATGCATAAGGCCCTGGCTGGGTTCAATCCTAGTACGACAAAATCAAACTTAAAAAGTAATTATTTTTCATCTTTCTACTTGTTTGCTATGTTACAGTTTAGCATACCTACTATTCCATAAAATACAAACAACTTAAATAAACTTGGAGACCTTCAACATAAAGAAACCAGGTTTATATTTTTGCAAACTGAAAAAATAACTTGTAATATGATGTTCCCCCTCAAGATACACTAAATTGGGTTCATGTGTACCTCAATGGAACAGCATGTTTGCACAAAGCCCTGGATTTCCCGTCCTCCAGCATCACCCAAAATTTTATCTTAAAAATAGAGAGCAAATATTCATTTTTTTTTAAATATTTAGTTTTTTCGTTGTAGTTGGGCACAATACCTTTATTTTATTTATTTATTTTTATGTGGTGCTGAGGATGGAACCCAGGATTTCTCATGTGCCAGGCAAACGCTCTACTGCTGATATTCTTTAAGCAAGAATACAATATTCTTTATACCACACATGAGGATCCTCAAAAGACATATATTTTAAGGTCTATAATCTATAATCTCAAAATTATAACGAAAGCACCAGAAAACTATACTGGTTCTGCTGTGTGGATCCAACTCACTTAGCTTATTTTTCATAAAGCAACAATGTATTAAAAATGGGGAGAGTGGGGCTGGGGTTGTGGCTCAGTGGCAGAGCACTTGCCTAGCGGGTTCGATCCTCAGCACCACATATAAATAAATGAAAAATAAAGGTACGTCAACAACTAGAAAATATTTTTTAAAAATTGTTAAAAAATAAATAAATGGGGAGAGATATTCAAGCAAATCCCAACAAGAAAGCAAATAAGAAAATGCTTTAAGAAAATTCACTTACAGATATCATCAGTGGCATCTTCTGAACTTTTTCCTCCACAGCACATAATGAAAGGCACTCTCCGTTCAACTACTGCCCGACACTGTACACACTTTTTCATTAGGCTAGCACAGTCTGAAAATTGGTAACACAAACATGTCTTACAAGGAAAAGCATCAATTAAAATATTGCCTTTTGCTACTTATTTCTATTAAATTTTACACTTAAAACATTAATAAGGGGCTGGGATTGTGGTTCAGGGGTAAAGTGCTCGCCTAGCATGCACAAGACACTGGGTTCGATCCTCAGCATCACAATACCAGACCTTAAATTATACTACAGAGCAACAGTAACAAAACGACTTGGTATTGGCACCAAAGTAGACTTGTAGACCAATAGTAAAGAATAGAGACACATAGTAAAGACAATAGTAAAGACACAGAGACAAACCCACATAAATATAGTTATCTCATACTAGACAAAGGCGCCAAACACATTTATTGGAGAAGATTGTCTCTTCAACAAATGGTGCTGGGAAAACTGGAAATCCATATGCAGCAAAATAATAAAATTAAGTCCCTATCTCTCACCATGCACAAAACTCAACTCAAAGTGGATCAAGGACCTAAGCATTAAACTAGAGACCCTGTGACTAACAGAAGAAAAAGTAGGCCCAAATCTTCATCATGTCAGATTAGGCCCCGACTTCCTTAATAAGACTCCTATAGCAGAAAAAATAAAATCAGGAATCAATAAATGGGATGAATTCAAACTAAAAAGCTTCTTCTCAGCAAAAGAAACCATCAGTGAGGTGAACAAACATTTTGGTAGCAAATTTTTACCATACGCACATCAGATAGAGCACTAATCTCTAGGATATATAAAGAACTCAAAAAACTTAACTCCGAAAAAACAAATAACCTAATTAGTAAATGGCCAAGGAACTGAACAGACAATTCTCAGAAGATGATATTCAATTAATCAACAAATCTATGAAAAAATGTTCAACATCTCTAGCAATTAGAGAAATGCAAATCAAAACTATTCTGCGATTTCATCTTACTCCAGTCAGAATGGCAGTTATTAAGAATATAAACAACAAGTTTTGTTGAGGATATGGGGGAAAAGGCATACTCATACATTGCTGGTGGGACTGCAAACTGGTGCCATATGGAAAGTTTGAATTCATCCCATTTATGGAGATTCCTTGGAAAACTGGGATTGGAACCACCATTTGACCCAGCTATCCCGCTCCTTGGTTTATACTCAAAGGACTTAAAAATAGCATACTATAGGAACACAGCCACATCAATGTTTATAACAGCACAATTCACAATAGCTAAAATGTGGAACCAACCTAGATGCCCTTCACTAGATGAACTGGATAAAGAAACTGTGGTACATATAAACAATGGAATATTATTCAGCATTAAAAGAGAATAAAATCATGGCATTTGCAGGTAAATGGATGGAGCTGGAGAATATTATGCTAAATGAATTAAGCCAATTCCAAACGCCAAATGTTTTCTCTGATATGTGGATGCTGATCCATAATGAGGGCAGCAGGGAGCATAGGAGGAATAGAAGAAATTTAGATAGGGCAAAGGGGAGGGAAAGGAGGGGGCATGGGGGTAGGAAATACAGTAGAATGTGATGGACATCATTACCCTAAGTACATGTATGAAGACATGAATGGTGTGACTCTACCTTGTATACAACCAGAGACATGAAAAATTGTGCTCTATATGTGTACTATGAATTGAAATGCATAAATAACATTTTAGAATAAATTTAAATTTATTTTAAAAAATCCAAACTGATACAACAGAATATATTCAGCCTCATCTACTACTCCAAGCAAAGGAAAATAGCTGACAGTCTGATATTCTATCAGTCTGATAGAATATATAGAGAGATTGAATATATATATCTCTATATATATTCTATAAATTTTGTTTCACTTCATATTGTTGTAATTATAACTGAGGAAGTTTCATACAGGCTACTTACTCTCACAAGCACACATGTGTCCACAAGGCTGAAAAAGAACAGCTGCTTTCTTGTCAGAGCATACCACACATTCTTCAATCTACAGGGAAGAAGCAAAAGCACAGAGTAAAAAACTACAGATAAATCTAATAACTCTAACAACTCCTTTTATATTCAAATACAGGATATAAATGTGTATTACATTTCTCTGTCCTTAATACACACACATCCCCTCTATCTTCTACTTTCCTAGTTGCTCATTTTCACATATTTATGCACTCTACCTTAACAGGTGCTATTTCTGCATTAGTCTCCCTTCCCAACTTAAAAAATCATGTAGAAAAACTTCACTTCCTCTGAAGTCAAGAAGAAAGGTCTGGACTTCAATTTTTTTTCCAGAAACTACATTTGAAAGGGAACTGATAGGATAATGAACAAATCAGAGTATAAAAATAAATAAGAGAAGATAGATATATAACATTAATAAAAATCTAGCCAGATGAATCAGACTGTTAAAGTTCAAGAGGGATTTTTCTGTTACGTACATATAAGGAACTCTAAAAGCACACTATTTTGGAAGTTGGTCAATTCCCATACTGCCTGGGGCCCAAAGCTTTGGATTATTCTTTCTCCCTAAACTACAAGTCTTCCAATCTTTCTATAATTTCTCTCAATGTTAGTTCCTCTCTTCATATCTACTAGATTAATTCAATTTTGATGTGTGACTATTAACGACCTTGGCTCTGGTTTCCTTTTTCCCCTCACCCAATCTCTAGTGCCCTTGGCTTCACATTGGTCTACTACCCATTCTTTTTTTTTCTAACACAAGGTCATATTTAGCTCTTTCTTGTGTCATTTAAAACTACTCTCCAAAAATGATAACTACCACCCACCTATAACTTCCCAAAATTCCAAGCATATGCTCACATGCATTCTCGCATACCCATGTGCAAGTGTACTCTTGCACACGCCCCCTCCCCAACTTTCTCAACTTACGCCTCAATATGTACACAGAATTTACATAGTTGAAGTAATAACAGAATTCAGTAAAACATGGTTAGTTAGGACCCTATTATTGCTGGATTCTAAATCTAGCCCCAACACTGAATCATCTAACACTGTTTTTAAAGAGTTTAAGATAATATAGTAAATTGATTTAACAACCATATATTTACTCATTCTCCCATTAAAAAAAAAAATCTCTGAAAGCATAATTTTCCTCCCAGGAGTGGAATTATTAAGTGAAAGCATGTAATATGTCAGAATGGCCTCCCAGCCTCCAGCAGTGTTTAGAAAATGACTATTTCATACTTTTCTTGTTAGCATTTTTTGGAAACTTATTTTTGCAATTTCAACAGAAATGGTCCGTGTTAATTTTTCATGTGTTTGTAACTCTCTAATTGCTATAAAATCCATGCTTCCAAATCCAACAAAATACCAGTTTTATTATTTGTTTTACTTTCATGAATATGTTCACTGCCTTTTAACCACTTGGGGTCACTATTTCTTTATAGTCAAACACTCTAAAATCAACCCAGCAAAACTGCTGGGTGGGCACTTTAGTTCTCATACTTTTCTACAGGTTTGAAAATTTCACAGTATACAATATAAAGTAGATTTACATAAATCTTTAGGTTACAGAGGGCTTTGGAAGAAAAACAGTAGGTAATATTTTTTAACTGTAAAACTTTAGGTATAAAAAAGGAAAAACATTGAGCTAAAAATTTTTTCTGAGAGTAAAAGTTACATTCAAATAATAAATTATGTTGGCAAACTAAGATAAAACTGTAAACCAGCAATAAATTCAGAAATTCTTATTCCTAATAAATGTATAAATTATACATTCTTATATTTTAAAACGTTATTTGGAAGAACAAAATTAAACAAATCATATTAGATACTCTCTTCTATCATTATTTATAGAACTTCATAAAATGATAAAATACTACATAAAAAAATTACCTTTGTCCTGGACTGAACTTGTTCTTTACAGATGAGGCATTTTTTGACTCGTGGAGAACATAAAGAACAGGTTGCAATATGTCCACAAGGGCCAAAAAGAGTATCTCTCTTCATATCTGAGCACACCATACATTCTTCTAAGGTTTCTGAATCATTACTGATCATAGAAGGACTCCGAGAACCCACTTGACCACTAATAAAGGAAAATATTCCAAATTAAGCCCGTCAAAATATTTCAGTAACAGGGTGGGGTTGTAGCTCAATAGTAGAGTGCTTGCCTACCACATGTGAGGCACTAGGTTGGATGCTCAGCACCACATAAAAATAAATAAACAAAATGAAGGTATGGTGTCCATCTATAACTAATTTTTTTTTTAAATTTCAGTAACAAATTCATTAATTGTCTTTAAAACATCCACAGCAGGGCTGGGGATGTGGCTCAAGCGGTAATGCACTCTCCTGGCATGTGCGGGGCGCTGGGTTCGATCCTCCGCACCATATAAAAAAAATAAAATAAAGATGTTGTGTCCACCGAAAACTAAAAATAAATATTAAAAAATTCTCTCTCTCTCTCTCTCTCTCGGAAAAAAAAAATCCACAGCACTATTAGTATATGCAAAAACAATTGTTTATGTTAAAAAAAATCAAGTGTTCATATAAATATCTTTATATGAAATCCTGTATATCGTATTTTGCTATCTATCTATCTATATATATACATCTCTATCTGCTTCTACTATTATTTCAAACTTGGAACTACATGAATCCTCCTCACTCAATAGAAAAGGATGAATCTTCTAACAAAGAAATAAAAAACATTTTAACATAAACAATACTCAGAATCTGTTGTGTGTCACACATACACACATATAAAAGCAGAAGGAGGACTAGGAATAAAACAAAAATTCTAACTAGCAACCATGTTAGTTATACTAACTAAAGACAAGATGAAGCATTACCAGAGTCCACAACTTATAGAACACTTCAAAAAATATGACACTCCAGCTTCTTTTTGGACATTTCATTAAGTTTATCCTTAAGGAGTATAAAATTATGTAACAGAAAGACAAAATATATCTATAAAAATATAGATATAAAACACAGAAATACATATGTGTGACTAATTACACCTACAGAAAAGGTACTGTTTCTACCATAAGCTTCAGAAACTCATGAAAACACACAGGTTCTATCCTTGGCTCCACTGATAAAAAGTTATTACAGTGTTTCTAGGTTTATGTAAACACTATTATTATAGTACCTTGTATCTATCTATAGATGCATCTTTCTGTAATAGAATTTAATATTCCTTAAGTATACACTTAAATACATATACCTCATTATATCACATTCGCCAATAACACAGCTCTATGCATGGGTTCCTAAGAGATGCCATTTCATCACTACACATAAATTATGAGAAGTTAAGAGAACACAAAGGTCAAGGGATATCCACTGAAATGCTTAGCAACAAGAAATGGACATAAAGGGCGATAATATTGCACAGCAATATTAGGATAAAACAGTAGAGATGTGTTTTGTATATCTACAATATCTCATAAGAAAAATATTTAAATCATAAAAATATCACTGACATATTTTACTTTCAGAAAAAAAGGCAAATGTGAAATAATCATCTTTAGAGAAAACTCCACAAGGAATTGGTTTCCCTTATTTGTTCACGGTTTCAATCCTTCATTGATACTTCACTGAGTGCCTGTCAGGCTCTATTCAGGATGCTAGAATTGTTACCAAGTTTAGTATGAGATGTATTTTGTTCATAAAATATAAATTGTCCCTCTTAGAAAAATATTAAAATTTTAAATATATCTAATGTCACAGAAAATTTACTAGTAACATGTTTTCTTTCTTTCTTTCATTTTTTTGGTACCGGAGACTGAACTCGGGCACTCCACCACTGAGTCACATCCCCAGCCTTATTTTGTATTTTATTTAAAGACAGGGTCTCACTAAGTTGCTAAGTGCCTCCTTTTTGCTGAGGCTGGTTTTGAACACCTTTTCTTACAGATAAATTCTTCTAACACATACATTCCTAGAAAATCAGTAGTTTTAGAAAAGTATCTTGAACATACTGTGCATAAAGCAGTACACTTAACAACATGGAAAACAACATGAAATAACAGATACTTTTCAGGAAAGAAAGGAACAACAAAAGGATACAGGAATTGTACAGATAAAGATACTTTCAATTCCTCTATTATATAACCACATGATACTTTATGGAATATTAAAGTTTATGATAATAAATAATACACACCTGACTTTTTCTTTATGACACTTTGCCAACGCTTTGCAGAGACTTGGATCAGGACAGAGATCAAGTGGAGATTGACCCTTCTTATTTCGAATGCTAAGGTCAGCGCCATTGGCTGCCAAGAAACAGGCAATAGATGCTGCACTCTTCTTCTCTGCCCCCTGGGTACCAAGTCCCATTATTAACTGAAATCAAATGAAAAGAACCATGATTTTTTCATTAGGAGTCTGCTATCAATTATTACTATAGTATATTATATACATATGTGTGTGCTTGCACAGGAGCACAAGTGGTGAATATCTATGAGTTTCCTTTCTATCATTCAGTCCTCTTTCCCCTACATCCCTCAATTTTCATAGGCATATAATTTGAAAATTGACTTATCCTCCAGTTGTAACAGTGGAAAAAGTGGCTCAGTCCAATCATAGCCCCACCTATGTAAGTAGTTCAGGGACAGATACACAATCCCAATCAGGTCAATTAAGGCCAATAAAACTCAACAACAAGACTTCTGGTTGAGATACTGAAGAAATAGTTCTCTTTTCTCTTCAATTTGGCTCTGGAGATGCTAGAAACCAACTTGAAATAATGAAGAGAAAGACCGCTGAGAAAAGAAACTAACTATAAATTTACTGAGCATCTATAATGTACTCAGTACTATACTACATCAAATACTTTCCATGATCTTTATAGCAGATTCTGTAGGCAGATACTTCCCTCTCTCCATTTTAAAATGAGAAAAAGGGGAGGCACAAAGGAGTTAGAAAATACACCCACAGCCATACAATAAGACAGCAATTCTGAAACATTTTGGTCTCAGAATGCTTTATATTTTAAAAAACTATTCAAATGCTTATGTGAAAATCTAAAGGACTTAGAATAGCTACACTTTGAGGGAGAAGAAGAAAATTGGACAACTTACACTATTTTATTTCTACATTATAAAGCTACAATAATCAAGACAGTTGAGCTGGCATCACCTAGCTAAAAACAGATGAAAAGAACAAAATCCAAAGAGACCTTCAAATGTGTCGTTAATTGACTTTGGATAAACGTACACAGACAGTTCAGTAGGAATAAACAGTCTTCAACAAATGGCACAGGAACTGAATTTCCACAAGCAAGAAAATGAACTCTGGGCAAAGGGGAGGGAGAGGTGGAGAGGGAGCATGGGGGCAGGAAAGATGGTGGAAATGAGATGGAGTCGTTACTCTAGGCACATGTATGACTGCACATAATGGGTGACAGCTATGTCGTGTACAACCAGAGAAATGAAAAGTTGTGCTACAATTGTGTGCAGTGGAAAAAAAAAAAAAGAAGACCCAGAAAATGAAAGCTAATGTTACTTATAATTAATAAATACCAATAAAAAAACTTTAAACACTAAAAGCAAATGTTTAAAATTAGTATTAAATACTTTTTTCTTTTTTTCCCAAAACCAAAAGAAATTTTATTGTGAATGAGATGATATTATAGGATAGTGGATATGTCCTTGTAAATAACATTACTAGTAAATAAACTGAAATGGAAAGAAGTAAAGAAATAAGTCCTAAGTGTCTACATTTAAATATGAGACAAAATGTCTTCTACCTTGATAAATAATAAAATGCTACTTCTATTTTTTTGTTGTTGCACATGGACACAATGCCTTTATTTTGTTTGTTTATTTTTATGTGGTGCTGAGGTTTGAACCCAGTGCCTCACACATGGTAGGCAAGCGCTCTACCACTGAGCCATAACTCCAGCCCAACTTCTATCTTACTTCAGCTGATAACCACTTGCTGATTCTCTGTTAACATAAGGTATGAATACTTGAGTCAACTTTGAGACTCTTAATTTGCACTTTAATTAACACTGTTCTGAACAAAAGACTATGAAATGCTTTTAAAATCTCAAATGTGAAGATATTTAAAATCATATTTTTACTATTTTTCTTTGACTTAACTGCATGGTGGTAAAAGAAACTGACCTCATTAAAAGAAATTATTTGGTATTTACAGATTCTTGATTTAGTGCCTAAAACACAGTCCAACTTTTATAAACGATTCATGAGTGCTTAAGAATGATTATTCTGGGGCTCGGGATGTGGCTCAAGTGGTAGCATGCTCACCTGGCATGCGTGGGGCACTGGGTTCGATCCTCAGCACCACATAAAAATAAGATAAAGATATTGTATCCACCTAAAACTAAAAAATAAACATTAAAAAAAAAGAATGATTATTCTGTAATAGGTGCAGAATTGTACATGTTCACTCCATCAAGCTTGTTATTTATCATTAAAATTTTCTATATATCAAAAAAAAAAAAGAAAACGAACTCTGACCCATATGTCATACTATATGTAAAAATTAACTCAAGGGCTGGAGTTGTAGCTCAGTGGTAGGGCACTTGTCCAGCAAGTGTGAGGCACTGGGTTCGATTCTTAGCACCCATATAAGTAAGTGAATAAAATAAAGGTCCATCAACATCTTAAAAAAGTATTTAAAAAAAAAAAATAACATGTGGCTCAAGCAATAGGGCACTCGCCTGGCATGCGCGGGGCACTGGATTCGATCCTCAGCACCACATAAAAATAAAATAAAGATGTTGTGTCCACTGAAAAATAAAAAATAAATATTAAAAAATTTTCTCTGTCTTTAAAAAAAAAATTAACTCAAATGAACCATAGACTGAACTATATAACAGCTAAAACTTTATAAAGTTCTATGAAACAAGAGAAAACCTTAGTGATCTTGGGTTCAGCAAAGATTTCTCTGAAAGGACATAAAAGCACAAATAAAAGAAGGGGATAAAACTAGATTTCACCCAAATTAAGAACCTGTGCGCTGCCATAAAGACTGTTTAAAGCCAGGCTCAGTATTAAGCCTGCCTATAATCCCTGCTTCTCAGGAAGCTGAGACAGACAGATGATCACAAATTCAACCTGGGCAACTACTGAGACACCATCTCAAAAAAAAACAAAAAACAACCCTATTAAAAGAAGGAAAAGACAAGACATACATACACACACACACACACACACACACACACACACACTCCTTGTTTCTTGCATGTCATACCCTGCACTATCCCAAGACTCAACTTGGCAAGAAGGCCATTAATAGATGTGGCCCCTTGACCTTGAATCCAAACCATTTAGATCCAGATAGAGAAAAGATCTTGAGAAAACCGTGGATTAAATGGGAGTCTTACTTCTTAGAGCTAAGAAGAATGGAATAACCTAAGTTTGTGAAAAGGTGGAAAAAATTAAACATTCACCTTGGTTGCCCTCTGTTTGAGAAGAAAATAGTTATGGATTCATCAGAAGTAATTATATACTCAACTGATGCATTTCCACCCGTGGTTTAGCTACACTTTTTATAACTGCACTCTTCAATGGCTGACAACTTCTGAATATGCTAATTATATGTATAATTCTTGAAAAGTTTTTTTGTATTTTCCTTTGGTGGTACTGGGGATTGAACCCAGGGCCTCACACATGGGAGACAAGTGTTCCACCACTGAGCTAAATCCCCAGTCCTTAACAAGTATTTCTGAACATTACTGACTAAGCTATCATTTCTATACAAAAAATTTACAAAAGTATTGTGTCAATTGTTATGACAGAGAGAAGGAAGGGAGGGAGGGAGGGAAGAAGCCATTGACAGGGAGAAAATACTTACTCATCACATATATGATAAAGAATTTGTATTCAGATTATATAAAGAACTCTTGAAACATTAACAACTAAACAGACTCAATGGTTAAAAAAAAAAAAAAAAAAAAACTTGGCTAACATAAAAGAGGTCCTGGGTTTGAGCCTCAACACCACAAACAAAACAACAAAAAGAGCTCAACAAAATAATAAAAAAGAGATCTGAGAAGACATTTCACCAAATATATGTGGTGACAAGCATATGAAAGGATACTCAGTATCAGTAATCATTAGGGAGATTCAAATCAAAACCATAAGATGAGGGCTGGGGTTGTGGCTCAGCAGTAGAGCGCTTGCTTATCACACGCATGGCCCTGGGTTCAATCCTTAGCACCACATAAAAATAAAGATATTGTGTCCAACTACAATTAAAAAATAAATATTAATAAAAATTTACAGCCTATTTGAAAGGCTGTAAACTAAAAAAGAAGAACTGAACAACTTTTCGTAAGAATGTGGAGGCAACTTAGGTAGTACTGACTAGCATTTCGTTCATAAACTAAAATTCCTGTAGTTTACTTGTCTGCACTGGGGATTGAACCTAGGGAAGCTTTACCACAGAGCTACATATCCAGTATTTTTTTTTTTTTTTTTTTTTGGAGACAGGGTCTTGCTTAATTGCCCAGGCCTGGAAATTGAGATTCTCTCATCTTAGCTTCCTGAGTAGCTAGGATTACAGGCATGCACCACCATACCCAATCATAAACTAAAGTTCTAAGTATGTAGGTCTGATAAAATATTGTATAAGATACGGATTAGATGAGTAGTAAATAAAAGATCTTGCATTAGAATATGCTTCCATTGATACTAAATGAAAGACTCTTTACTCACTGTGTTTTTTGACGGCTCCCAGGCAGCATCTACCTTCCCCACATCCTGCATATCCTGCAGCTGACGTAGCTGAGACAAAGTGTGATGCCTCAGAGCTTCATGCAAAGGAGTATCTCCATCCTTATCCTGAATATCTAGTTTGGCACCTGCACGAACCAAAAGCTAAAAGAGAAAAAGATACCTCAAGTTAATAACATGTTCACACCCATAAGAAACTTCTATGTGTTTAAAGTAACAGTGAGAGCACCCTGTACCTACTTGAAGGAGTTACTATTAAGCTAATGATTTTGATGTCTTTGCTTTCTACTATTCTACAGTGTTGTGGTTCCTTACAAAGAATGATGTGCTCTGGTTACTCAAAGAGATTAAAGTGGAGAAGAAAACAGAAAGAAATGAGAATCAATATGCAGCTCAATTTATCTACTCTGAAAATGAAAACTGGGGTAAATTTAGGACTTTGTTTTCTACTTTTAATTTTAGATATTAAGTAATTTTAAGCTCTTAGGGAAAAAATCATACTGTTCAAAATTTTTTTATTATTTAAACAAAGAAGTATTCTCTTTGGTCAATTTTCTTCAAATGTATCCTCATGAGGCAAGTTCAAATATCGTGGAAGATAAATGAAGATATTTTGGCAAAAGGATTTCAAAAAATAAATGTGAAACAGTGTTTGCTAAAATACAACCTTTTAGATAAAATGCATAGCAGACATATTTCAATAAATGACTTAAGCAATGGATACGTTTATTTAAGATTCTGCTTACAGTACTCTAATAATTTTCCTATCCTTTCTACAAATAACATCAGTGAGATATTTAGAAAAATACCATCTGTAGAAATCAATCTCAAGCATACGTCTTACTTGTCTATGTTCCAATATTTCTCAAATTTGAAAAATCATCAGAAGTACCTGGGTAATTTTTAAACTAGGGATTTTTTCCATCAGAATCCTAAGGTTCTGATTTGTTTGTTCTGAGGTAAGGCCCAAGAATTACTTTTCTAGAGCCAGTTAGGGTGGCACACACCTATAGTCCCAGCAACTCAGGGGGCTGAGGCAGGAGGATCACAGGTTCAAGACCAGCCTGAGACCCAGCCTCAAAACAAGTAAGTAAATAAAAAGGGCTGGGGGTGTGCCTCAGCAATAGAGCAACTCTGGGTTTAATCCCCAGTACTAAAAATAATAAAATTTCCTACCATCAAGTTCCCAGGTGATACTGCTTCAGCCTCCAAACTTGAAGAACCACTGCGCTACAAAAATATTTAAACCAATACTCTTCCAACTCTTTTTTTTTTTTTTTTTGAATCATCAGATTAGTAAAATAAAAAATACATCTCAGCTGTTTTGGAATTTACAGCAGCAAATGTCCAGCTGAAGCTATTCATTTGTATTTTACTCTGTTATACATATTAAAAGGGAATATACTTTTTAAAACTAATTTACATGTTACACTGAAATTTTCTCATTTAATATTCTGCGAATTCAGAAATTTAACAGGATGATAGACTTTGAACTTAGAATTTTGCTAGAAATTACCCAAATGACGCAAAATATTACCCTAAAATTTTGTGACAGACTATGCATTTTGGGATGTGGGGGGAACACTCTGGGGCAGTCAACCACGAACCACATCCCCAGTCCTATTTTGTATTTTATTTAGAGACAGCGTCTCACTGAGTTGCTTAGCGCCTCACTTTTGCTACAGTTGGCTTTGAACTCATGATCCTTCTGTCTCATCCTCCCAAGCCACTGGGATTACAGGTGTGTGCCACCACACCCAGCCCATTTTTGAGAAGTTTAACACTATATCATTTCAATTTTCAAGAAGTTCTAAAACTCTGGATAAAAAGGGGCTGGGATTGTGGCTCAGTGGTAGAGCAGGTTGCCTAGCATGTAGGAGACACTGGGTTTGATCCTCAGCATTACATACAAAAATAAATAAAATAAAGTTATTTATTTTTAAAAAATCTGTAAGCCAATATTTATGTCAATAAATACTTTACCCTAACAATTTGGGTGTGTTGTCGCTCAACAGCAAGGTGTAGGGCAGTTTGTTGGTTCACATTCTGGATATCTAGGTTTGCATTACCCTGAAGAACAACAAAAAATTTTAGGCGGTTATATTTTGACAACAGTAAAGAACAGTTAATTAATTATTCATAAGAAATAAACAACACTGGATACTGCTGACCATCTTCTCCTTCAAAGCTAAAATGATATTATTCTTATAGGATAACAGGTCCTGTTACTATAGGGAAAATGGATGGGGCAGTAAATTTCTAAAGTAGAAGAACAAGTTTAAAACATTCTTTTTTCTATTATAGTGATTCCATCCAAGAACACAGGGCAAAGCATAGTAGAGGTCAAACAAAACTCTCTTTTTTTTTATTGTTGGTTGTTCAAAACATTACATAGTTCTTGATATATCATCTTTCACACTTTGCTTCAAGTGGGTTATGAACTCCCATTTTTAGCCCATATACAGATTGCAGAATCACATCAATTACACATCCATTGATTTAACAAAACTCTCTTTCAATCTCCATTATACAGCGACAGAAACGATCAACTCCTCTGAACTGTAAAGACTTCTGAAGCTACTGAGTTTTGATAGTGGCTTTAGATTGACTCTAATGACCTGATAAGTTCAATTGTTCTTGTTACATAATTGAGCTCTTCCACATTCTATGAAAAGAAACTTTGCTTGAGATGAGAAGATGATGATATTTAATTAGTACATTAAAAAAAAAAAAAAAAGGTACTAAACAGAGAGCAGGAAGTCCTATCCAGTATCCTACAGGACTTTTAAGAGAACAGGTATTGACTAATGAGAACAAAGGACTATATAAAGAACAGCTGAAGCCTAAGCATAGGGAAAAGGACCTGAGGAGCAAAGCAACTGAACTTGTGAGTCAGGGGGCCTTGGTTCAAGCTCTGTCATTTATGTGAACTTCAGCAAGCATTACACCATTTCATACCTATTTCTCAGTTCTAAGATGGCAACCACAACTTACTTCATGGCGTTTATGTAAAGATTAAGAAAGTTAACATGTAAAACTGCCTAAACACAATATCTAGTATAATAAAAAAAATTAAGAAAAGAGCTAGAGGTTTGGGATATAAGTCAGTGGTAGAACACTTGCTTAGCAAATGCAAAGTCCTAGGTTTGATTCTTGACACCACATAAATAAAAAGAGTAAAATATTCAGAAGATATTGCTCTGTTTCAGTCTTAAAACTATTCATGCTCTCTGATGACAACTTTAATAGCCACCTATGCCTTTGCTTGCAGTATCAAGTAGAGTTGATACTCCAGTAATACTGCATCATATTTTGAAAGGTGGGAGTTCCTTCTTTGTTCTTATTATAATATTTGTTTCTTGGCATATGGTCCTGAGGTACTTGATCTTATCATGTCTGTTCTCATATAAATGTGAACAACGGGGGATTTTCTTTTGAAGTTTCCTGAGCTTCTCTAACATTTAGATTTTGCTATTCTGGTAGGATGGAGCTATTCTGAATAAAGCTGCTATGTACATTTAATACAAGTATTTGTGTGGAAATGTCTCTTCTTGGGTACAACCCTAGTAGTGAGGATGCTAGGTCATATAGTGAATACACGTTATCTTTGTAAGAATTCACCAAGTTGTTTTTCAAAGTGGTTGCTTTAAAAAACACCAGCAATATATATGAATTCTAATTACTCCACATTCTAATCAACACTTGGTTTAGCTGAACTTTCTAATTTTAGCCATTCTAGTGGTTGTAATTTCTGTCTCCCTAATGACCAATCACACTTTCATATGTTTGTGTGCTAACTGAAATCTCCTTTGGTAAAGTAAGTGTTTATATCTTTTGCCTGTTTTACACAGATATTCATCCTTTTATACTTAAATTGTAAAAGTTCTTTATATAACCAGGATACTGGTCCTTCATCAGAAATATACTTTGTAAATAGTTTTCCCTAGTGTAGCTTTCCTGATATTATCTTAATGAGACAAAGTTTAATTTTTTTATGAGGTCCAATTCATTCTTTTTTTTTTTTTTTTTGCCTTTAGGATTATGTCTTCCTGACTCCTTAAGAATTCTGTGTACCTCCAAATCAGAAGATATTGTCCTATGTTCTCCTATAAAGTTTTATGCTTTAAGCTTTTAATCAGGTATACGACCCATTTAATTTTTGTATAAGGCATAAGGTAAAAAAAAAAAATCAAAGATTTTTTTTTTGGGGGGTGGTTTTTTGTTTCTGTTGGTCTAGCAATACCTATTTTCCCCTAATATCACTTTTGAGAATCTATTTTTTCCATTACTTTGGCACTTCAATCAAAAATTAACTGACCATATATGTGATTTTACTTATTTAATCTCTGTTCTTTTGATCTACATAACTATCTTTATAGAAAATACTAAGAAATCTATAAAGAATAATCTACTAAAACTAATAAATAAATTTAACCGAAGTCACACAATATGTAAGTAAAATATAAAAGGCAATTATATTTATATATATCCTGTTATGCTTTAGATATTAGATGTCCTCTAAAAACTCATGAGTGACACTACGCAAGAAGGTTTAGAGGTAAAATGACTGGTTATGAGAGCCTTAACTCAATAAGTGATTTAATCCCCTGATAGGGATTAATTGAGTGGTAACTGAAAGCAGATAGGGTGTGGCTGGAGGTGGTAGGTCACTGAGGGCATGACTTTGGGGTATATATTTTTGTCCCTGGTGAGTGGAGTCTCTTTATTTCTACTTCCTGGTGTCATGTTCCCAGCTGCTTTCCTCGGCCACACACTTCTGCCATGATGTTCTGCCTCATCTAAGGTCCTGAGGAATGGAGTCAGTCATCAATGGACTGAGACCTCTGAAACCATCAGCCCCAAATTGAACTTTTCCTCCTCTTTGTTCTTGTCAGGTCTTTTGGTCATAGCAGCAAAAAAGCTAACTAAAACACTAGCAATATACAATTAAAAACTGAAATGTAAAACCAATTCAAGGGCTGGGGTTGTGGCTCAGCAGCAGAGCGCTTGTCTTGCCTGTGCAAGGCCCTGGGTTTGATCCTCAGCACCACATAAAAATAAATAAATATAATAAAGATACTGTATCCAACTACATATATTTAAAAATATACACTTAAAAAATTACATATATTTAAAAAATAAATATTAAAAAAAAAAATTCAATAAACAGAGGTATGAAAAATTGTTCTATATGTGTAATAAGAATTGTGATACATTCCGCTGTCATGTATTTAAAAAATAAAACCAATTAAAAAATAGATAAAATTTAAAAATAAAAAACAAAACCAGCAAATAAAAAAAATTCAATTTACAACAACATTCAAAAAAAGCGATCTAAAAACAAATCTAATTGTGCAAGAACAAACTCCCAACAGATTTGGGGGGGGGTGTGTACTAGGGATTGAACTCAGGGGCACTTGACCATTAAGCCACATCCCCAACCCTACTTTGTTTTTTTTTTTTTTTATTTACAGACAGAATCTCACTGAGTTGCTTAGTGCCGTGATTTTTGCTGAGGCTAGCTTTTGAACATGACCCTCCTACCTCAGCCTCCTGAGCTGCTGGGACCAACAGATATTTTTAATAGAGACTAATAAGCTGTGTATAGCCTTACTGCCCTAAATATGCCCAATCTTGTCTTATCTCAGAAGCTAATCAGGCCTGGGCTTTGTTAATACTTTGATGGGAAACTAATAAGTTGATTCTAAAATTTGTATGAAAATGCAAAAGACAGATGTTTTCAAGATATTCTAAGAAAGAAGAAAAAAGTTGGCAGGATTTAGTCTACTTGACTTCAAAACTTAGTATAAAGTAACAATAACCAAGGCAGTGTGATACTGGCATAAGGACAGTCATTTAGACCTCAATAAAAAGGAATTATCATAATTAACAAAGATAACAGTAATTTTAATAGTAAAGGCTTAAAATGGCAGGGGGTAAAAGTAATAACTTTTGAACTATTTAAATTTCTGTAGTTTGGGGATGTTTATTTTATAATCCGATACTTAATTACACATAACATACTATTTATGAAGTTGTACTATTTCATTTAAGTAGACAGTAAGTTCCTTGAGGTCTGGAACCATAGATAATGCTTTGGTAATTTTAGTGCGTCTATATGGCATGTTTTCTTCGGGCACTTAAAGACTGTGCTAAATATACTGAAACATTTATAATAAATCAGTTCCCCCTAAAATTCAATCTCATAAAAATGTAGAATTATCTTATTTCAGAGATAAATGAATGACTAAGATGAGTTTATGCTACTATCCAACCACAAATTCTAAAGGTTCACAAGCAGTTGTGAACTGAATTCATCAATGAACAGGAATGTTCCAAAATTGTAAAAAATATTATTGAACTGCTTTCCCTACCTGATGTACCAACAGCTCAGCCACTTCTACGTGATTATTAAGGGCAGCCAGATGCAAGGCAGTATAACCATCATCTTTCTTCTCATCCACAATCCATGGTCTTGGTAATTTTGAGAGTAAAACACGCATTGCACTGAAAGTCAAATGCACATTTTTATATTTACATAATTTGATATTTTTACTTTCTTTACAAAAAAGCTTTTGAAATCAAATAGATCCTTTTTAAAGAAAATTTTATCCTTAGAAATAAATATAAATCCAAGTATTCTAATTCTCCAATGTACAGCTTTTTGTTATTTTGAGAGGCAAATAATCTATCACCATTTGAGGAACACAATTAAAATAGAATGGAAGTGCTACAAATTGGAAGCCAATTTCAATAGCATCTACTAATGAAAGAGTTAATAAAGAACGGGGAGGCCAGACATAGTGGTGCATGTCTATAATGCCACCTACTAGGGTGGGGGTGCCAAGGCAGAAGGATGTTACATACAAACAGGATGAAGATGCAGAACAATCATGTATACACAGACCAATCCACAAGGCTGTGTAGATGGAATGGTGAGAATTAAGGGATCTACCATTACACATACACACACATCCCTACCCCTACATTTAAAAACTAGTTATCAGGAAAAGACTTAGAGAAGAAACTATAAGCCTCTAAAATAATGAGATGAGAATCTCAAATGGTTCAAGATATGTTTCTTTAATGGCAGTAGTCTATAAATCCCATGTAGGAAATTCAAAAAGTCTTGAGTATAGGCTTTGATGGATCCAAGAACCTCTAAAGTTGAACTCAAACAGGTTCAACTCAAAGAGCTTTATCAGATTTTTAAGCAAGTTTGTGACCCAAAGTATATTGAGTATAATAGTTTAAAGACCCACTTCTGCGGCTATTACTAAGTTATAACCCACTGTTAGACTTTTGGAAAGCTATGTACTCTCCTCCAGAGAAACACACATCAAAAATTTTACCTACAATTTTGAGTGAGTCAAAAAACACTTAAATTCCTTTACTCTGACTCAGATTCTGAATGGGGAAAAATTAGTGATAGAACATTAAACTACTGAATGTCTGAATAATCATTATGCTAATTCCACATATTATCTATTACCCTACATATCTGACCATTCAAGAAACAGAACATATAGGAGTTTAAATCAGGTGAAGAAAATTTTTTTAAAAAAACACAATGTGAAGCCGGGCGTGGTGGCACACCCCTGTAATTCCAGTGGCTTGGGAGGCTGAGGCAGGAGAATCCTGAGTTCAAAGCCAGCCTCAGCAAAAGCAAGGCACTAAGCAACTCAGGGAGACCCTGTCTCTAAATAAAATACAAATAGAGCTGGGGATGTGGCTCAGTGGTCAAGTGTCCCTGAATTCAATCCCTGGTATGGTACCTACCAACCCAAAACACGATGTGATCATTAAAAAATAATGTAAATGCTTGCTATTGATTTAAACAAAAACTGTGATATAACTATGTTGAGAGGAAAGGTAGTAATGGAGGGTGTTAATAGTTTTAAATCTTTTCCACAACAAGAAATCACTAGATAATGTCTGTATTTGATAAATTAAGAAACTGCAGGATGAGCTGCAAGTTATTGGTGAGGACAGGCATAAGAGGGATAAACAGAATACAGTTCTTTTTCATTATAAGCCTTATAGTACTATGATTTAACCACGCACATATTTTAGTTAAATGAAAAACTTTTGGGGGCAACATTTGTTGGTTCCCCTCTCACCCTGCAGGAGTTCTGTCTCCTTTCTTTTTACTTGAATAAATCCTACTTTTTTATGGGAAGGAAGGAAAGAAGGGAGGGAGGGAGGGAGGGGAAGGAGGGGAGGGGAAGGAGGGGAAGAAGGGGAAGGGAGGAAGATAGAAGGGAGAGGTGGAGAGGGAGGCAAGAGACAGAGAAACGGAGGGAAGGAGAAAAGGAAATATTTGGTAATCAAAATACTAAGATAAAATTTGGCCCTACTATATTAAAATATTTTAAATTTGTATATTCCTTTAAGCCAAATGCACAAATGTTATGTAAGAAGTTATAAATGATAAAAGTATGTGGTTCCTGCCAACTTCACCAAGTTTTTTTTCTTTGAATCACATAACCTGAATAGGTACTCCGGAGAAGATGGTTTATGAAATCACATTTCCCATTGTCTTCCACTTTAGTTTTAGAGTGTATATCCTCTTATTGCACTACCAATGTCTCAAAGGAAGGAAAGGGGAAGAATTTCTCCTCTAGACACAAGCTGTCTGCTGCGACTTGTTCTTCTGGTCTTGCATTTCATAGTAAAGTTGCATCCCTCAGAAAGAAGAACAAATGGCTCAGAAAATTACCAAGGCAGTCAGCCAGTTATAAAGATGTTCTCCCAGAAACCTATTGCCTCTCTACTTTCTTCTTAGTGTGTATCTTGAATTGTCAGAACAATGGGAAAACGGTAATTGCAGGTTATGACTGGAAGTGATGAAAATTAACCTACTCCCTTCTAGATCACATTCTATAAAATAAATAAAATCTTAATATTAAAACTCAAAGTTCATATTTTCAGAGGGCAAATTTTCATTTCATAATATACTGCACTAACTAATCTCACTCAAATGTTGAAAATTATGTTAACAAAGTAACCATAATTAAAATATAATCAACCCTCCATATCCATGGGTTCCACATCTGAGAGTTTATCCAACCTCCAGATCAAAAGTACGGGGGGAAAATACACTGGATCTATCCTGAACATATACAACATTTTGGGTCATTATTCACTAAGGAATACTGTATAGCAACTAGTAATCTAGAGATGATTAAAGTATACAGTAACTTAGGTTCTATGCAAATACTATGCCCTTTTATATAAGGAACCTGAGCATCCACAGATTTTGGTACCCAACGAAGTCCACAGAGGATGACTGTACCATCTTTGTGGTGGCACATACCCACAATTCCAGCAACTCAGGATGCGAGGCAGAAAGATCACAAATTCAAGACCATCCTCAGCAACTTAATGAAACCCTGTCTCAAAAAATTAAAAAGAACTAGGGATGTAGCTTAGTAGTAAAGTGCCCCTGGGTTCAACCCTCCAGTACCACAAAAGAAAAAAAAAAGTGTTACACTGGCAAATGAGATGCATAAATCAGACAACAGTTAAGTAAATAAAACATGCAGATAACAACTAGAGAAAAGATACTTGTAGGAAAGATCCAGAAGTCTAATTTGGCTAAAAATCAAGTCACCAGGGGCTGGGATTGTAGCTCAGTGGTTCAATCCCCAGCACCACATAAAAATAAAAAAATAAAAACAAAATAAAGGTATTGTGTCCATCTACAACTAAAAATATTTTTTAAAAATCAGGTCACCAAAATGGAACTACAATTGAACAGATGAAAAATACATCTTTCTCTGGAAAACAATAATTGGTTAAGAAAGAAAAAAGAAAATAGTTTGTGCAAAGCCTTGAGAAAGAATGAGAAAAGTGTATCCCCAGAATTATTCAGAGAATGTCTCCTGACAAGCCCTATTTACCCTGTAGCAGAAAGTTTACCAGCATATGTAAAATTACCAAAGTTTAATGGTACTATATTAAAATCATATAACTATCTTTCTCACCAATCAATTATCAATTTTAATTTAGCTTCTCATAGATGTTTGTCCTACCAGCAAGGGTGACGGGGGCGGGGGACCTAATAATCAGGTATTGAGTAGTAATCCACTTGGCAATAACATTTCTTTTATGACTTAACACATTCACCTCTTACAAGTTTAATTACTGTCAGTCAGTCATCTGAATTCCAATTCTGGACCTATAGAGCTGATGCCAAAAACTTGGCCCTATTGAAGCCCTAACTATGTGTGTGTGTGTGTGTGTGTGTGTGTGTGCGTGTTTGTGCGTGTGTATGTATATATATATATATATATATATATATAGAGAGAGAGAGAGAGAGAGCTTTATATATGCATATATATTATATATAGTCTCACCCATACATTTCTAGCTTATATTTCTAACTGCAAATTTCATAATTCATATCTAATACCAAAAACTTCTACAGAAATCTCTATAAAATACCATAAGTTTGGGGAGGGAGGGAGGGAGGGAGGGTTGGAGAGTGATACTGGTCAAATTATATTGCTATATATTGTGTGCACATACAAATATGTTAACTACAAATCTCATCATGATGTACAACTATAATGCACCAATAAAAATGTGGGGAAAGGAGCTGGGGTTGTGGCTCAGTGATAGAGCACTCACTTCATATATGTGGGACCCGGGGTTCGATCCTCAGCACCACATAAAAATAAATAAGTGAAATTAAAAAAGTGGGAAAAATAGCAAAAAAAAAAAAAAAATACTGTAAGATTGTTTTAAGAATAAGTTAATGTAGGTGACAATGTTTCAGTTGCAGGGTCTGCAACTGTATAATCTATAATCTATAGTATAATCTATATAATATAAACTATATATCTGTATATAATATATAATATATAACTGTATAATAGTATTACAATTCTATGTTTATAGACGTGCAACCTGTACAACATAAACTCCTTTTTTTCCCCCTCTTCCTTCCAATGTTCTCTCTATATTTTCGATATTGATTTACACCCTCCCCACTTTTTTTAAGCCATTTAATCAGCCACCCTAGTCACAAACTTGGGAATCATCTTAGACACTTTTCTCCCTTCTTACTTCCACAATTTGCCCTGATGATTTTCCAGTTTAAACTAAAAATATTCTTCCCCAAGGCCACTGACATTTTTTATTTATCAATTTTTTGGTACTTAGGGATTGAACCGGGGTATTTTAATACTGAGGTACTTTCTCAGCCACACAAGCCCCCCCACTTTTTTTTCCTTTTCATTTTAAGACAAGTTCTCACTCAGTTGCCCCAATAGGCCTCAAATTTGCAATCCTCCTGCCTCAGCCTTCCAACTAGCTGGGGTTACAGATCCCTGTATGTGGCTGACATTCTTTAGATAGGCCATCTTATTCTTCCTCTGGATAAGGATAGTAAATCCTTGTTAACGGAAGCTCATTTCATCAGACCAATCCAGAAGGCTATGTAGATGGAATGGTGGAAACTAACCTTCACACATACACACACATCCCCATCCCTACATTTAAAA